CACCATCAGATGGTCCCTTTCCATGCGAGGTGGCAAAGAAGTGCCATTCAGCTTGAACACCAAAGTCTTCTTCATGGAGGCACAAATTTAAAAAGTTTTTTCTATTTTTATACTGTGCAGCACAGCCGTCAGAAAAATAGCATATTTTCTTAACATGTCCAAGTGTGTCTGTTAAAAACTGTATGAGCAATTTTTGAAAAAGGTGAACTGCCACAGTATCATGTGTGTTACATTCTGATATAATCACAAAACTTGTATGGTCAATTTCATCTTGCATGTTTCCCCGGTAGTAACATACAAAGGGATGAAGTGTTGCTTGCAGATTGTTCCAATGAAAAAATACATTGATTTGATTACGTTACTTTTATGAGTAAATGAAAATGCATATTAAATAAAAATATAAGAGGTTTTAATCTTGTAACCATAAAATGTATTCATATCTACATCACGGAATCTGTATTCCTTGTCTACATAATATACATCTACTACAGTATACTTTAATCATATGAATTACAAACAAGGCTTTAGTGTCATAATATAGTACTTTTATTATTAAAAATCAATATTGCATTACAGGTATATAGACGGATTATTGAAATAATTTATTATAGTGAAAGGCATATTTTATTTTACAAAGGTGTTACATAATTATGTTGATAGAGAATAGATTAACTATTCTAGTGGTCAGACTGGAGCGGGGCACACTTTGTCCTTTACAGCATCTTTGCAAAACTCTCTCACATCTCAAGTACCATTGTCGCTTAAGGGGTAGTCCAGGAGAAAGCAATTGAGCAGGCAGATTTACTGGTGGCAAGTTATGTACACTCTTCAGTAGCTGAAATTGTCGCTCTTCGCTATCAATGAAATCCTTACAAAACACAACCCCTAGATGTGCTGCACTAAAGTGGAGATAATGTAGCTTCAGAATCCCAAGAATCTTGTTAAAGTATGGAGTAAGAAATTCGCGCCAGTCGTAATTCTTGACAAACACTTCTCCATTCTCATTGCCTACCAATCTTAGTATGTTGACTCCAGCACTTGAAGATGTATTCACAACTTCAACCAAATCTTCCAACGAGCTGACAAAGCACTTAGAGAAACGTTGTTTCAACAATCCAAACCCATTGTCAGGTGTAAATTTCGTGTGACCAGCAAGCATAAAATGTACAGAAATTTCGAAAGCAATGGATATACCGCCATGTAAGATACCACATCAGGAAATTGTTTTTGTTCTGTCCTGAACAATTATTAATTATTACGTGTTTGTCGCAAACACGTGTGCACTGGCCCTTAATTATCGAAGTCAGTGCATATTTCCAAAATAAATGCTGACTTAATACATTTAGATAATATCTGTTCATTATAAATATATGTGATGTTGCCAATAACACAATTGTTACTATGAAAACCATGTTTCCGCTAGTGTAAATTCTAAACTTTTACGCTGAAATTCTGTGAAACTTCTAATATTGAAGAACCTCAGGCGACGATCTCCAAATTATTTCCCAGTTATAACCATGTGCAATTGAAAGCTCATCCACCCCTATTTGCAATAATACCATGGTCCATACTAACGAAACTTTTAAAAAATAATTATTAAAAAAAATTAACCTATATTTTTTAGGCTAATTTTGCCTAAAAAATCCCTTTTTATAAAGAGTGCGATTTATTTTTTTTTAAATTACCTAATTTTGATTTTTTTTTTAAAATAATAAATATTTGTAAAGTAAATAACTTTTTGAAAAGCCTAACAGTCATATATAATTTGAAAAACAACTGCAAGGACCGTACTAAGTTGAGGGAAGGTATGCGGAAGTAACGGTTTTTCAGACATAAACAAAATTTGAATGTTTGGGCAATAGGGGGGGGGGGCGCTGTTCTCTGAATATACATGGTTTGTCCGCGAATGCAATAGTGATATAATAAGAATACTAGAGGGCTAACCGCAATGTATTCGATGTTCGGAATACGCAGAATTGTGAGTGTACCATTCAAGATGGCTGCCATAGATTTAGTCAATCAAATTTTACAATTGCGCCCTCAATTTACTCAGAAAGTTCAGTACAGCTAGTTACTAGTATGTTTGAAACTCGAGCGTTGCGGTGTTTGGGTGTAATGTACACGATTTTAATTTTCATTCCTTGGTACTTTATTTTTGAATAAGATGCTCCACTTGGCCTCGTTTTGGCTACAATAGTTTAATAATTTGTTATTACTTATTATCATTAATGGAATAATATTAATAGTCAGAGGGCTTATTAATATGTAATAATATGTATACTAAGCCTGAAGGTGGCACTTTACTACGACGGCCATCTGGATGGAACACCTACATAACTCTGTATTGCTGCGCCATCTTGTCAGCACTCTAGTTGTTTAAAGCCCCATTCCCGGCAAAATTTCATTTTTCATGAAAAATCTGATGTTTATATATGTTAGAAAGATTTATAAATATAATACGAAACTGCTAGTGCAACTGAATATAAACATTCATAAACACCAAAAAATATGCAAAATAAGGCTGAATTTTGAATTTTTGTGTTCCACACAAAAAATCGACGCGGATTACTTTTAATCCTTTGAGTTTGTGATACGTCTCTGTAATTTTCAGTAACCATGGTCCGGTCAACGGGGAAAACGCCTTCATCAATATGCATGCAGACGACAAGTAATTTATATACGTAAATAAACAGCTTATACGTCGAGCGTCTCGTAAAACAAAATTAGTGGATTAGCTAGCCATTTTATTACATTATGTCTTCGACGAACTCAAGAAAGAGAAGGGGCAGGGGCAAGAGCTGAAGACTACGTTACGAGCGAAGAACGACGACTCTTTTGCCGCAATCTTACTGGACTTTCAATAGAGTTAGGCATTATAGGCTAACTAAGGTCGGGTCCTAGGTATAATATGGCTTGGGTAAGAAACCAGGCTAGCCTAGGCCTATGCCTAAGATCCAGTCTATGCTGTGCATATTATAGTTATAAGTATTAAAGTAATAATAACACGCTAGCTAAGCTACCATGGCATAATATGCTAAGCCCTAGTATTATTATTAGTACATTATACTAGGGCAATCCTAACTAATTATCATGTCACAGGTCTCTTCTTATTCATCCTACTCTAGAGGCATACTTTTTAGAAAAGACCTAGGATATGCCTCCTCTTTCCTACTGCACTGCAGTGCTATACATAAACTACAGTAGTAGGGCC